TGCTGTTTCGGGGCCTCAAGTATGTTAATATTTGTTAATTAGCTAAGCGCGCTTCAAAGTCTTTCTCTTATGAATATTCAAAGTTGTATTGTGTCTTTTTTTTTCACCCTCGACAGCCATCTGTCTGCGTGTCTTTGATGCACACCACATGTCTACCCTGCTGTTCAAAATGCCGACACACACACAAACGTCACACAAACACCTCCACATTCAGCTTATCTTATATATGATGTGCATTTGAATGTAATATTTGCATCTCTTCAACATAGCCCTTTAAGACCAGAGCAGCTATCCACGCCTCTCCAAGAATGTTATTTATAGACTTATTTAAAGCATTTAGCCGGTTTCTCTTCGCAGCCCTCTCATAATGCAGTTCTCTGTGGACTGCTGGTATTCAAATGATGGGATCCGAACTGTAGCGGGCTTCAAAGCTCAAAGAGTTTAACTTTATATAAAAGCTGTCAAGGAATAGTGTTACATTGATTAAAATGCATGAATAATGTTCTCTGTGCAGAAGATTGTATCTGCCCTGTCCTCACACCCCCATTTCTTTCTTTTTGTAGTCTTTTAGCAGAAAGCCATGTTTTTTATCACTCCTGACTCAGACAGGTACACCATTCCATTAGAGGAGCCCTGTTCAGCTGGCTCTCTGCCCTCACTTTCTTTATTGCTTTGATTTTTGCACTTGAAATGTTCTCCTTTTCATCACTCTCACCTACTGTAGTAACAGTTTTCATTTTTTTTTTTTATGGAAAATTCTGGACAAAACTCTTACTTTTCTCTGAAAAACTCCCCTCTAACATGCTCTCTGCCCATTCAGGCCTCAGGAAGTGGGTGTGTGGTGTGTTGAGTTTGTTTAAGGGGGAGAGGGAGAGAGCGAGGTGGAGAGAGGAGGGGAATGGGAGGATACAGATCAAAATAATAAACAGCTGTGTGAAAGACTGGGGCGAGTGGCCAGAGAGAACGAGAGCAAAGGAGGAAGAGGAGAGAGAGAGATGGGTGTTTGCGTTGCCCCCATTTGAACAAAGCGCCAAAGAAGAAACGCAACTTTAGAAGAAGTTTTCTCATCCAAGAGGAGGAGAACAAACGGGATGACAAACACATCAACCACTTCTCAAAAGGCGAAGGGAAGATAATCGGCAGAGCTTCGACTCAAAGAGGCTGGCGAGTCAAACTCCGAACGCCAGGACTCCAGGCAGCTCGTCGCTAACACGTGGCTACAGAAAAGAAGAAGGCATTCTTTGACTAAGTGGCCCAGTCATGGCAGTGATTAGGAGGGTGTGATGGAGCGAGACCAGACCGGGGCTGGAGACCCGAGGGGCGGGTATTAAGGCAGGCACTGAGGTGACTCTGTCTCTTTGAGCCCCTTACCCTTTACTCAGGGGAAGGAGGGGGCAAACCATATGCCTCTTTGTGCTGCCGTCTCTCCACAAGGGCTGTGTGACTGGCAGGAATAGAGTGCTTTTCATCAGAGTAATTGAGAGCAAATGCCCCGGCCCTACCCTGAGTTGGACTGCCGTACATCGTGTAAACAGCTTCCTTCATGCCCAGAGGGGGAGTGGAGGCAGGGAAGCAGAGCAAAGTTGCAGGAGAGAGCCAGACCTGTCTTCGGCCGTTTGGAGGTTTACGTCAACCGGCCTGTCCCTCAAGACACAAACCGTTATCTCGTCTTTGCAGACCTCTACCCAAGATTTGTTGGATTTCCTCCCCAGTTTAAGTGCCCTGGCCAGAAGGACTCAGCTGTCAGCCTCCCGCCTCCACTTTGTCAAACCTCCAGTGGCACCAATAGTCCTGTTAATCCTAAACCCACTTTTGAAGCATGACGGCAGAGTAACTGTCACACCCCAATTCTCAGCTCGGCTGCCTTTCCCAAGAGGATGCTACGAACATGTGGCGGGATTGGGCCAGCACACACACCGCCACGCATGCACAAGTGCTGCCGAGGGGTGTGTGAAGTGTGGAAATTGCCTGTTTTGAGACTGCGGCCCAAGTTTCACTTTCTTACGTTCAATTGTATTACAAGAGCCGTGTTTCTCCACGGTTTGAATCAAGTTGGTTCTCACTTTGGATTCGGTATTGATCCGAACCCCGACCTTGGAGGTTTCTGTTTTGACGGTAACCACTGGAGGACTGACCTACCTGTGCTGAGTCCTTGCCGACCTTCCACCTGCCTCACACTAGAGAACATGTAGGCACTTGCGGGAGCTGAAGGAGTCCGTGCACACACTCTAATATGATTGGCTTAAACTTCAGCGTGCAGGAGCTGCTCAGAAAGCTCGAACAGGTATATTTCTACTGATTTAAGAACAGCTTGGTCTTGGTCTCACATTGGTCACTTAAACAGCATGAATACAAGCACAGTCCCTCTCCATCTTCCCCTGTGTTTGTGGTGGTGGACCTAATGTATTCAGCTTCATGAGGTCGGAGCAGTCATTATTGGACTCATTAAAATGGAATAATCGGTTCTGGCCTGTGCTGCTAGTTATTTGAGAGCATTACCATGCACTGAATGAATTATAGAATTTGACAAAGAACCTTGAATTATGCCTAATTTGTCAAAGCAAACGATTGTGGTAATTGTGTTATAAAAGGCTAATGACAAGCATGGCTTCGCTCAGTAAGGGTCAATGTTGTTTGTCAATGGGAAATACACATTTGGGAACAGTTATAATCAACGCCACAGTGTGTTAGTGTGTGTTATTATTGTTTTTACCTCAGCCATCTTTACGTTTAATGCTTTTTTCCTTGACAAAGATAGAAGTTTCTTAACTTCAGTGACTAAAAGGGGAATCTGACACACCTTACCTGCGCACAAACCAGCCCACAGCTAACAAGTCTGTATCACTCATTACTGCGTGCATGAGATTCAGAAGCCATTAACCTTTCTGCTGCCTTTCTGCACACTTTGCCACTACTGATATTGAGTTAATTTCTTGAAATAACCCATTAATAAAACAGGAAATAGCTGCAAACAGAGGCTTTTTATAGCTGACACGCTCCCTTGTGGCACACAGATTTCTTTTTGTAGTGTTTGTACATGTGTGGTAAAGACCAAGCGACGGAACGTCATCCGTCACCACACTAATGCGTCCCACGATTCACACCAACATACTTAAACTGTTGGCTCACAGCAGTCTTTCAGTGGAGGAAATGAAATGTAAAGGGAGCTTTGTAAATGAATATGTGTGCCTCTGAAGGCCCACACAGTCTTTGCCTTCTTCTGTGTTGTGTGTGAGTGTGTAAGCAGTCAATATTGCTTCCAGGGAAATAGAAGGGCTAAAGCAAAAGAAAAGGGAAGCACTTGGGTAATGACTTGAAAAACTGCCAGCTTGCTAAATGACAGGATGACTCTCTTGTCTTTCACTCTTTATCCCTCCTTTTATCTTTGCTTTTCTCTCTGTCTCTTTTTTCTCGTTCTGTCTGTTTGTCTCTCACTGTCTCTCTGCTTTGACCTTTAACAGGCATTTGATTTGTGTCAGAAAGCCAGAGGGTGATTATCCTTGTGAATCACAGCGAAGGGATTTGCTTTAGCCTTTGTGAAATGGCTCTTGGCATTCAGTGAATTGCAGCACCTTGTCACAGATGATTGTAGTAAATATTAATTGTTTTCTGTATAGCCTTGTCTTCATTGTCGCTGTGGTTTTTTTGAGAACATAGTTTACAGAGTAGCTCAGCAGTTGTTACTTTACTTCATGTGCGCATATTAAACGACAGGGGTTCATATATTTTCCTTCTATTTAATGTTATCGTCATTAGTGTGTAGCTATTTTTGACATGTGTGATTTGGCTGGTGATGAACAGTCACTTTGTTCCAGGCACATTGGGTGTATCCAATATTCAATTATTTTTAACACTTGGATGACTTAATTTACAGATTTGTTCAAGCTGAGAACACTCAATAATCTCTTAATGCCCTCTTTTGGTAATTGTTAATTTATTTTTAATATGGTAGAGACAAAATTAAAACAGTGCAGCAACATTAATTTTATTCTCTAAGTTAAGGCAGTTTTACAGTAATTATTAAATGAAAAGGCAAACTATCTTTTCCAATCTGTAATGCATCACTGGAGAAGATACACTAACAGGCGCTGAAGATGAGTCGTTGAACCCGTCAAAATGTTTTTTTATTTCTAAACTCTTATAGGCTGTAGGTCTCATTACACCCTACACTCGTTCTGTCCCCTTTTCAATCTGACTGTGTGGCAGTGTGACACGCATCCATATGTTATTGGAGTATTCCTTTATCTGAAGTTCAAATGGGTTGAGCTGGGGGGAGTCCCTCTAGAGAGAGGGAGAGTGAAGAGAAAATGGAGCAGTTTTACACATCTAAAAATAAAACATTTGACAGGATCCTCTACTTACGTCATCTCCCCTTGTGGTTCACACACTAACACTCATATACCCTGTGAGATGTGGTTGTGTAATAGAGCTGCCTCGTTAAGGGCACTCACACATGCACATGGTTAAAAATGGTAATCCGTCACAGTATTGAATGTTGTTGCCTTTTTGCAGCCGCACATACACATAATCAGAGTATTTTTGGTTTGCGCCACAATATGTTATTATTGCATACTGTTTCTCAGCATAAAATCAGCAAAGCTTGCTTTAGTGTAGAGCTGGTACAACCTAAGCAGCATGAATAGATGTTGCCTAAGGACTTCTAAGTCAGTGAAAGGGTGGAAGTTAAAATCTTGTTAGTCAACGAGTCAAAAGGTACCTCGAGGATATGTCTTAAAAATATAGACTTCTCTGCCCTCTGGAACTGTTGTTTGCGGGATGCCGTTAAATCCCTCAAGACTAGAACCAAAATCCAATATTTTTTTCGGTTCATGAATAATTGACTTGAAGAATCTGACCTCTAATTTTGGGGGGATTTTGTTATGAACTTGCTTTACTGAGCAATCACTACCCCTAGCTTTGTATGTATTTGCTCAGACACTAACGTTCGCCCTGAAGAAATGGTCGTTCTGATAATTATTCTTTGTTTGTGTATTTGTAGGACATCCAGGCTGAAATCGATGCCCACAATGACATCTACAAGAGTGTGGATGGGAACAAGTCGAAGATGGTCAAGGCTCTGGGCAGCTCGGAGGAAGCAGTGTTCCTCCAACACAGACTGGATGACATGAACCAACGCTGGAGCGACCTAAAGGCCAAATCCGCCAACATACGGTCAGTTAAAGTTCAATACTTACACCGGTTTGCTCCAGTGTTTAGGGGTCATGCAGCTCAGATTGTATTTTTCTGCTCTTTTGCTGCTCCTTACTTTGGAAAGAAAAAACATTGTGAGTTTAGGTCTCTGCCTTAGTGTACAATTTAAATCAACCAGCATATCGCAGAATTGAGTTTCTTCTGTGAGTGTTATTCCTGTGTACTCTGACATAGGAATTAGAAAATGCACCAACAACAAGGATAGATCAAGGTAGCTTATCTGTACTCTGCAACAATACATAGAGCACAAATCAAGAGTCTTCGCTCAAGTCCACTTTCCTCTGGTTACTCATCAATACACTTAAGCTGCATATTATTCACAATATAAAGTTTCTTCCTCCCTGGTAACTGGGGCAGTGACTTCTCCAAACCGTGTTGATCATGATGGATCATGATTCATGGAAAACCACATGAGACATACAGCGTGCTGTGGAATATTCACCCAGGTTGTGGTGTTCCCCTCAGCAGTACAGATACAGTAACTCCTCTATTCCACATGCCTGCCTGAAAAACTGCTCAAAAAGGACATGAGAGCCGCCACAGTGGCACATAAACTTCTGATGAGAGACAATGCCGCGTCGGCCGCAACCTTGCCATAAATAAATAAGATTTGCGATGCAGAGGGTGAAGAAAGTGAAAGTGGAATCGAAGTTGACAGGACCAGATGGAGATGTTCAAAGACAAAGAGGAGGAGGAGGGATGATGAAGAGAAGCATCCGAGGAGCACAACAAAGCTCCAGGGCAGGGGAAAAGGTGAGAGAGAAGGAAGGGGAAGTAAAAGAGATGGGAAAGTTTCACCGCTGGAAAGAGTTTGGGGGTCAGGGTCAAGCAGAACAGACATAATGGGCTGGACTTGTTCCACAGGAAGATAGGCGGGAGGAAAATGGACAGTGGGAGATCAGCCTGTGTAGGAGTTGGGGGGCCGCGGCGTGCTGATTGTGTTAAGCCCATTATGCCTTAATTGCAGTACATGTGTAATTATGACTAACTCAGCGAGCGGCAATAGGAGGTCTCTGAACACAGTGTTCAGTTATATTATGCCTGGAGGAGAGGAGGAACACACAAGAGCTTACTGTATCAACATGTATTGCATGCATGCTACCACCCACACAATTAGCAGCTAACTGTGTTTCCTATTTACAATAACATCTTCACAAGGAGGGCAGCAACCTCGCTCCAGAGATTTATTTTACAGGAGTTTGTAGTTATTAAGGCTTTTTAGTTGTTTATTAATGTTTTTTTAAGCTGGAACTTATGGAACTTTTTATATGAACATTTTATTGAAAATAAAAGACACAATGTAGCTTTCCTGCTGTATAAATACAAGTGTCAGCCTCTAGTAGGTGCTAAATCCACATCTGTGTGTTATCGTTTTGTGTCCTAAACAGACCCTTTGATATGCCAGTATAATCAGAATTAGTAACCCTGTATTAGTCCCACAGCGGACCAATGTACAGTGCAACAGCAAAGGGACAGAGCATATACAAAGGCAAACATAAAGTTAGTTATTTGAAGTGGCAAGCACACATTATGTAAGTATGCATTAATGCAAAAAACAAAACAAGTAGCAGCATTATAAAGAAAATAACCTTAATGAACTTTAGAGAAGTGTATGTTGCACTAAACGGTGAGGTATTAAAGTAGCAGCAATAAGTAGTACCGATACAAGATTGTTTATGCCTTTCAGTAACGGGCTAGAAAATGCATACAGTATAATAATACTTAAAGCGATTGTGTATTGGCAGAGCCCATCTTGAGGCGAGTGCTGAGCGCTGGTCTCGTCTGCTGGGCCTCCTGGAGGAGCTGTGGAGGTGGATCTGCCTGAAGGACGAGGAGCTGGCCAAGCAGATGCCCGTCGGAGGAGACGTACCCACCCTGCTGCAGCAGCAGAACCACTGCACGGTACGTTCTGTCACCAAAGGGAGCGTTCCCGCCACGATGGATAAGATTGATCTTACTTTGTTTTCTTTAAGCTTCTAAAAAGTTTGATCCCGCATAACGTGATTTAGATTACATTTTTCATCTAGTTTTAGGGTTTTATTACCATTCTCTAAGCCCTATACATTTAGAATATACGGTATTTTATTTACAGTAAAATAATTCAAATCCCTTTATTTGAATTCGCTCATTAGATGTTGAAACTTATTTTGCTCCATTACACCTTACTCAAAGGCTCTTTGGGTGGTGTGTACAAACTGTGATCTCCCTGACACTCCTATTAATGTTCTGCTCCTGCCGGGAGGTAACAGTTCATTATTTCTATTGGTTCATTGAGTTCAACCTGAGAAGAGTTTTAATTAACCAGGATAAACTAAAACACTTTTTTGGATGTTTATGGCCTTAAAGTCAAAGGCAACTAAGTGTCTGATCCAGCCGGAGCCTCTTTCTCCATCTCATTTCTAAAGTTGCATACTGTGGCTCAAATATATGCGGCTGAATATCATAACAGCAAACATCCTCCCAGCTCTTATTTTAGGATTCTATTTTACTCTTGGAAACATTCCTAGCAAAGAGTACAAAAAGAAGACCTGTTTTAAAAGCAGTATACCGAGCACGCCCTTTAGCTACCCAGAGGTGGAGATAAGAAATCCAAACTAAAGTAGCCTGTAGCTGTTCCTCGTGTCACGTCCAATGACGATGCAGGAGGAACACGGATTCTGCAAACTCAGCTTTCTTTGTCAATATAGCACGCACTGGGGACCTATTGGTTTCAATCGACAACATTTACCATTAACACTGATTGGACATCACAAAAGGTGTTGATACTCCCTTTGAGGAGAAGTTGGTTACCCTGGAAGCTTTACAGTATTTTAAATTGTTTGTCCAAGTGTTCAAATATATCTGCTGAACAATTGGGATTGAAATCACGGGAAGATATTTTCGTAAAGCAGACATTATTAACCATCAGGCCGGTCGAAATCACTACTACGCAATCAGTGTTGTTGGTCCCTCTCTTTCATTCTTAGATATATTGTTATTTATCACCGTCCTACTGTATACCCAACTGTATCATTTATTGTTACAAGTGATCAATGCCTTCATTGTGCCAGCGCATTCACCACCTTTGTCATCAAAGCTATTTGTCCTCCATTTTTCCCCACTGTATTATTTATTGTAACCACTGGTTATTGTGATAGTGCATTGACGTGCAATTGCTTTCAGATAGATGACTCAGCCTGTGGCGACTGTTTACTCCCAGTCCGCTGGTCGACGCTGCTGCTGATGTTGCTCTTGACACCGTAATGCATTCTCCACTGCCCGTTCGCCACACTTATTTTGTTCCACAAAACGCCTTGAGAGTAAACACATGTGCTGTTGCGCGTGGGCGCAGGATCATAGACATACTGGGACAGATCAACATAACACCCTCTGACACACACACACACACACACACACACACACACACACACACACACACACACACACACACACACACACACACACACACACACACACACACACTGTATGAATCCCACTGCATGGGCATCTAATGATGTGTAAGGTTTTATTCAATTTTGACAAACAACTCTTAGCACAAGCATTAGTACATTTTTTGTGTAACTATTTATTCCATTACATTATGAAAGATTACATACTAACTTAGTCTAATCTTCCAATTGCTGTTTACACAGACATTATCAATTAGACATTAAACACACCTCAATACTAAGACATGGGTGGGGAGAAAAGGGTATAAACAGAAGGAATACTAATAATAAATAAAAATAACAACACATGACACAGATTTGTTATCAAACCTCATCCTAACTTCAAACAAAGAAACTGGGAACTAAGGATGCGATATTAGAAAAATCTTCATGGATTTTTGCAGACGCCAGTTTCAAAGACAAACTTTGAGAATGGCAGATAACTGATCTATTTTAGAGACAGAATGCAGTGCTTTTCTGCATTGGCATACAATCCATTTCTTGGCCGCTGTAATGTCTGCTAAGTTTAGTCTTTTAATGATTTAATATAGGATCATCATTCAAAAGCAGACTAATTAAGTTAGAGAATACTTTAACCCAAGATCATGGCTAAAAAAGTAAATTATTCAAATGTTGCTGCCAGATAATGTCAACATATAGTTTCCAGGGAGCAACTGGAATCAAGTGATGATCTGCCCACATTATAGATGTACCAGTCTATGAAGGAATTGTATGAATTTGAACATGATGATGGTTAGAAGGAAGAGAGATTTTCTGACAGTCAGGACCTGGAATGAAAGACCATGTTTTTTTGTGTGTGTTTCAAACCAGGAGACAACAAATAACAGTCCAGGTTAATCAAAATGTTTCCTCTGAGGCCTGATGTGATATTGAGGCACGTTCTGGGTCTTGTTCTCAGAACCTGACAGAGAACAGAGACAGGCTTACCAGATCAGACAAGTTCCATTAGGAATGGGACTGAGCGCACACACTGACCACAGGGGAATAAAATCCTCCCTACTTTCACCTTCCTTTTCTTTCATTAACCTGCCTCAGCTCTTCTGTTTCAGTTGCTCCTCTGTGGTGTCTGTTCTGCTGTTGGTCCCCCCCCCCCGCTTTTGCATTTCCTTTATTTACAATATGTTTTCCGTGCGCGCTATCCACTGTCCATTCCTTTGTTCATTTCCAGTCCTTCAGCATTGAGAACGCCGGAATAGAAAATAATGAAGGCTCCATTTTCATTTTGATGTTATATTTTTCCCTTCGCTTCCTTCCTGTATTCTTAATAGATTGGCCTCGAGTTTCTCTGACCCTGGGAGGGTTGAAGGAGCTGAGCAGCACAAAGAGCTGTGGCTTTGAACACGTCACGCTCTATTACTTGCTAACACCGACACGCAATTCCCCTGTGCTCACACATACGTACATACACGCACTTCTGTCACTCAGAAGCTACTTTGTCTCTTTGTGACCGGGAAAATATAGCTATATGGAAATTGGTATCTATGAGCTAGGAAGGGCTTAGAAGGACTAAGTGGAATAGCCTGTTTCCCCCCAGTTGTTTTACTGTGAGATTTGGATAGATACTGTATAGGAGGATAAGCCACTTAGCCAACAGAGAGCAACGGATATTGCTGTTATTAAAGATCAGGGGGAAGGACAATCGGGAGAGCAGTGGTCCAAACAGTCTAAGAAAGTGATGGACAGGGCTGGAAACAATTGAGAGCTAAAGAAATAGGAAAAACAGAGGTTTATATGTGGAAGAGAGCAATTATTTAAGTAGAAATACGGTGCACCTTCACCTGTCTGTTTTCAGGAAATTCAGTTTCTGACAGTTGTTTTAGATTCTGCCTGAAAGCAGTTTTGTTCATACGGCAGGAGGTGATTTAAAAGTGTGTGTGACAGAGAGAGGGAGGGGTATTATCCTTTCTACCTGGAGTGACTTCTTGCTCCCTCCTCTGCATATTGATCTGTTTCTTTCTTTTCCCTGCTAAACTGGCCATAATAGAATTTATTAATCGCATATTCAATTATCCCATAAAAGGCCTCCATCAGCATCCAGCTGATTAAACTCATCAATCTCCTCTATTCAATTAACAGCTTCAAGGATTTGGAACAAGGGACCAAGTGCTTGTGGGCATTTTTTATTAACAGCTCTTATCTTTCAGCAACAGTTGGCTTCTTGTCCAAATTGTTGGGACGGTTCAATCTTTTCTTGCGCTCTTCCAAATGTTTCCGAGTCAATAAATATAAGACAAACAGACAAAGTGGGATTCTATTTAAGTTTCATTTTAATTTGGTTTCTTTAGCAGTCTCAATATGCTTAAGCCGGGCACAATTACCCTGTCTAAAGTGAGGAGGGTCTAATGATCCTCTCCAGAACCTTCTTAATCATTGTGCCTGCATGATTGATTAGCACCATTTGCACCAGGAAGGACAGGTCGTAAAGGAGAGTACAATTGATTAAAGTGCTGTGCTGAAGTTAACATTATCTTCTAGGAAACAGTGACTTTTTCTAACACTCAATTGTCTCGTTTTGAGTAACTTTTAATTGTTTTTGTCTGATTTGCATTTTTTTGACTTTTGTCCTAACAGTCTGTTGCCCTGCAGGCTGATTATAGTTTTGTTTTAATTGTGTTAAGTGCATGGCTTACTAAATGTTACTGCTTAATATCCACTGTAGCCGAATCTTTCAACAATATACCTCAGCAGTATAACACATTTAAACTACTAAGTATATTATTAAATATTTGAATATTAGCAATGGCTTAAACAACTGTATGTGAAATGTGTCGCTCACAGTGATGAACTATCAGATAAATATCAGCCGACTTTGTCATTGCTGTAATTCCATATGCATTGACATAGTATACAGCGGTTTCAGCGAATACATGCAAAACCAACATTACTGTATGCAACCTGTCAAGCAACAAACAGCAGACAATGGAGCATTTAGCAGCTAGAGAGACTTAAATCTCCCTGGGAGTGTGTTTCAACCAAAAAACACACTTCACAAACAGACATTCATCAGGTGGACAGAGCATTGACTTTTAATTATGCATATATTACTCAGGGTTTGGTTGGATGTCAAAATCAGCAGCTGTTAGATGACAGCTTCACCATATTCACCATAGCTCTTTATACATCTGTCTTCTGTTTGCAGATTGTTGCCCCTGCCCCACAGTGGCCATAACAGCAGTAAATGCAAATCATATACAATGTTGAAAACACATTTTTTCTGCAAAGTAATGAATGAACAGCTGTGAACATCAGTACCAGTGAGATCCATAATAATAAAATAGATTTAAAATGTAATATTTTCATCGGATTGAAATCCATGTAAATAATTGCAGTAAGAGTAAAATAAACGTATCCAATACATATTTATCAAACTTAATAAAATAACTTTTTTGTGTAAGAATCTGTCATTGAACATGTTTGCATCAACATTTAACCGTGCCTGACTCATTTATTAGCTGCACCTTAGTGTTTAATTTTAATTTGACTTATTTGAACATTACGGCTGGAAGCGGAAGATTAGTTAAGCATGTCAGAGAGTTCGACTTCAAACCACAACAGTAGCATCACTAGCTTTAAGCTATTTCAAGATAACCATATGTGTTACTGTCAAAGGAGCAATTACATATTCAGACACAAAGTCACTGAGGCCTCTTCATGAGCCGTGTGTCTGTTTCCAGTTATAAAATCTGATTTAGGTCAGACAAGTTTAAAAATGGTCTTCACTTAAGAATTTAAACATCATTTTTTACAGTGCATAAAATAGAGAAGCTATCATTGTATGACGGTTTGTAAACTGCCTGGATATGAGTGAACCAATATTCCAAAGGCATTTTGAGTCCTGCTCAGGAGCTTTTCTGATGTTGTTGAAAGCTGGTATATTGTGGTGGTCCGTTTTGGAGGCTTATTCTCCTCCTGGAAGATGATGAGGGTTGGGGTAATATTGCTGCGAGGCTGAGATAGCAGGCTTTTGAGAACGGAGAGAGAGGCCTTTTTGGTAGAGCTCTGAAAGTAGCTGTGGTGTTGTGATGTTATCTCATCTCCACCACAGCACAGGGCACGCGGTGATAAGAGTTTTCTGTGTTCCTCCGGCCACACACAAACACAACACCTTGACACAAACAGCCCCACACAGACACAACCTCTCAGACACACTAATGCACAAAGCCAAGGTCAAGGTTACACACAGCTACAAGACAGATGTTGTGAGCATTGTGGGACAGACAGGAGTCCTGTCTCTGTCTGGTCTTCACAAATCACAGCAACACAGACCATATTCTAATGTGCCAGTAAAAACTCTCAAGAAGAAGAAGAAGAAGAAGAGCATACTGAAGGACAGACTTTTATCTTTACATAGACAGCTGTCTCTTATCACTCATAGGCAACCTGGGATTTACTAGAAACCTATTTTTTGTTTACCTCAAAGCTCTACATGTGTCAAATATGTATCTCTTATGGTCTCTCTGAAATATATGTCCTTGTGTGAGTGTGAAGTTTAACTAAAGAGTGTTGGGAAAGGTTTTGGGTGTTGTTATCTGTCTGAGGTGCAGGGATACCCAGTGGCTGGATGACAGAGAGAGGCTGTTTATTCCACAGTTCCTTGGCACTTCTTGTGTTGCCGCGGTTACAACTTTCTTTATCTGTTTCTCTCTAGAGCCAGTTAACAGTGAAGGATGTATTCATATTGCAATCAATACAAAACAGTTGATTAAGATATTTCTCACGATGCTCCGTGTATACAGTATGAAAATTTGGCATAAGTGTGAAAAGTTACTTAAAATAAATATGAAACTGATGTTCAAAATGCCTCACATGAGACCTCACTCTTCATATGTTCTATAAAAAAAGCTTCGATAACCAATATCGTATTTTTTTTTGCCTTGAATAGTTGTAGTATTTATAAATATAAATAAAACGCCAACATCACACCCTCACAATATGATTCTACTAAAGGTGGATGAACAATTACCTCTTACAATTTATATGTTTTAATTAGGGTTCGCAGGGCAGGTTTTACTTTTTTTTTGGCACAACATGATTACTTATATCAGAAAACTAACCTGTAGATCACTTACATTTCAACCGTATTGTAAGTAATCTTAAATTATATTTAAACGTCACCCAGTCCTAATGCCAACATTTCATAAATTCACTATATACTCTTCTATATAAACAGAAAATCACTCCAAAAATATAAAACAGCCAAAGTAGGCAACTGTTTTGTCAGTGGGAGCAGTCTTTCTTCATCGTTCTGTAATCAGGGTTCTTTGATTTATCCAACTGGGGATGCTGTTGGTGCTCACACCATCCCCATCTGAGAGAGAGCAGAGAAAAATGTGTTGTGACATTACAAAACTGATATAAGAATATGTTTACTTAGCATTCTCTGTTATGCAAAGAATATGTTTGAATACAAAACATATGCACTAGGGCTGCATTGGAAAAAACTGACATTGCGATTTTTTCCCCCCTGCAATATATATTGCGATATGAAATCATACAGGAATTGAAGAAAAGACAGTTGTTTTTGTCCGCTAACCATCCTTTCTTGAA